GTGCTGAAACAGTTGTACGAAGAGAGAGCAAAGCGAGAAGGAAAGAAAAGAAGAGACATTGTTGTGAAGATATAATGTGTAGCGGAGGTGTGGTAGTGAGTGTAAATAATTTGGGTTTACGTGAATTTATAGGGATGCTGATGATGGTAGCTGGTATTGACCAAGATGGTAGATAAATGCAATACATGAGGGAGATGAATTTTCTCTTTGATTTTTTCTTTTAATTTCCCGGAAAAGTTTTATCTTTGAACTTGCCGAGTCTTCACTTTGACATAGATTCTTTTCTTTTTCCAATATGAGCTTGCAGAATTTAAATATTATTAATGGGTAATTAATGACTAAATCGCACTTCTAAACCACTTTCTTCATACTGTTTGCATGGTGCTAGAAAGCTTACAATTTTTTAATAAATTATTATATTTATTAAATAGTTGATACATATATTGATTATAATATAATAGAAATGAATTCTAAACAAGTATATATATATATATATGAAACATTGTGTTAAAGTTCAAATACCAAATTACTTATTTATATGAGACAGTATACATATAGTCGATAAAAATAGATATAGTGCTAAAATACCACATTCTCACTTATAAAGTTCCGTATAGTTTAGTTTGTCTTTAAAAAAGAAAAAAAAAAATTAGTCAGACATATGCACTAAAATTAAATTATTTTCTTATCGCACATTAAACTTAATTAGTATTGACTAATTAATGTTTACAATAATGGTACCTCGAATGCTTTAAAAAATTATTAGTTAAATAAATTTATAAATTAATTTTAAAAATTACAGGATTAGCGCTTGGTTGAAATTAATAAATCCATGTTTGACGAGTAGAATGCACCAATCTCCTTTTCCATAGGACCTGCTTCTTGTCACTGACGTGGATAAAACTATGGAGTACTCCATAATTAATCAGAAGATTACAGAAAGAAGTGAATGTATATATACATATATATATTTAGGTGGTAACGCACAAATACTTCAGTTAATAATACTCAACCAGTGTGTTGTCAACAGTCACTTTCTGATAAATTAATTGGTAAGAAAAATTAGATATATATATATATATATATAAAGTTGAATGAAATTAATAATTTTTCAGTTAATACTTAATGTTCTTATTTATTTATAAAGTGCATTCAAATTTAAACTATTTATAGATGTATGATAATGTTCAATTGTAATTTTTAAAATTTATTTTGTGCGTACTTGTAAAATAATTAATTAAATAGTAGATTGATTGTGATTATGATTATGATTATGTTTGTTCATTATTTTTAAGAAATTAGTTAAAAGGCAACATAATAAAATGTTTCTGTTTGGATAGGTATGTATTGTATATACGTTTATAAGATAGTGTCGTCTTTTAATTGTATTTAAAATATATATATATATGTGTGTGTGGGTGTGTGTGTGTATATCGTATGCGTATGTATAGGATACATATTATATTATATGCATGTATGCCGACTTCCTTTACCTGTTCTTGAGTTCTAGAAAGGTAAAAACTTTAGTTAAATCAATAACCATTTTTGAATGGTAGTCTCTGTGAATTTTTGGCTTGGTAAACATGTCCAGATGACAATCCCAGCATCACCATTCTCTTTTCTTCATGATTACTAGCAACCGTGTAATCCGGAGATTGTGACCTCATTTACGGACTGTTGAAGTGGATTTGAATTAGACTTTCCCTGTCACCTGGTGGTGGAATTTTCTGCTCTTAAATCTGGCGCAGATGCGAAAAACGCAGGGTGTGAAGGAGCTGGAGAGGAAATGGTCTGACTACTCAGCATGGTAATTATATGTGACATTGTAGGCCTATCAACCGGAGCTTCTTGAACACACAGTAAACCAATTTGAATGCACTTGATAACTTCATCTCTTGAACATTCGCCGTCTATGGCTGGGTCTAGCAGGTCCAAAGCTGTTCCATTTGCCCAGTGTTGCCATGCCTGTAACAAGTTGGGATTTATATACAAACCATTTGATAATCAAGTCATGTTAACGACAAAAATCTTACCCGACTTTGAAGGTTTATTGAATCACAAGAACTGGAGTTTTTTCGCCCAGAAATGATTTCCAAAACCAAGATTCCAAAGCAGTACACATCAGATTTTGTTGAGAACTGTCCTTTCTTAATATACTCCGGTGCCATATATCCACTTCAAGCCATAAAATAAGATATATATTAGCTGTTTCTCAACAAAAATCACAGAACAAGACTGGACATATATGATGTACTTACTATGTCCCAGCAATTCGCTGTGTGTTGGCTTGAGTCTGGTTTTCGTCGAATAATCTAGCCAAGCCAAAATCGGAAATTTTTGGGTTCATGTGTTCATCTAAAAGAATGTTGCTGGCTTTCAAATCTCGGTGAATCACCCTGAGCTGAGAATCTTCATGGAGATAAAGCAGGCCTCTCGCAATTCCAACAATGATTTTGTATCGTCTCTCCCATTCTAGACTAAGCTCCCTGCTTTCATCTATATCATCCAATTCTCAATTAATTGTTAAGTAAAACATCAATAGAAGATTTGAATGAAAGACTAAAAGAAAAAGTTTTGTACCAAATAGAATTTTGTCCAGGCTGCCATTAGAAAGGTATTCATAAACTAGGAGCTTCTCTTCTTCTTCTATGCAGAAGCCCAACAGCTTTACAAGGTTACGGTGCAGCATTTTAGCGACCAACATTACTTCAGTTTTCAGCTCTTCTACGCCTTGCCCTGATCTACTTGACAGCCTTTTAACTGCAATTTGCTTCCCATTATGCAATTTTCCCTGCACAGGATTATTCAGTACTAATCTCATTTGATAAAAACATATTAAACCACTAACGTTAGTGTCGAGTTTTGTTTTAATTTTTTAAAATAAGAACGACAAAATGAATTCACTCATGCAAATATGTAGATTGTAATTAACTTTTATGTACTAATAATTAAAAATTGAATGAGAATAAAATAAAATTAAACTAAAAAGAAGGTTAGTAAAGACATTGAAGAAAGAGCACCTTATAAACTGGACCAAAACCACCTTCCGCGAGTTTATTTGAATCAGAGAAATTTTCAGTTGCAGCTTTAAGCGTAGTTAGTCCAATCAACAGCGACTCCATGCTTTTCTCACCCTCTTCATTAACAATGACATCACCTAAATGATGGAAATTAATATGCTTGGAGAGTATAATCTGTGAAGATGGTATGTCATTTTCTTTCTAGTTTCTTGATATTCCGGAGATTTTGATAGGCAGAGCAAATAGAAAGGATATATATGAACTTTTTGGTTCTAATTAATTAGAAAAAAAGAAACTAACTACCAGCTGCTCTTTCCGTCTTCATCTTTCTTCGGAAGAAGATACAGCAGATCATTGCCATGACCACTAACAGAAGCCCAGTAGCTACAGATATGGCCACAATAATTATGTTTTTGGAGCCTTTCTTCTTACCTGAATTAACATGACACAATTACAAAATCACTATTCTCATATGCACAAAATCTGATCTCATGTAAAAGGCTGAAAAAAGGTATTGAATAATCGTCTAGTAAAATAGTCATCAATCCGTATATCCCAGTAATTATGGTTCATGTATTGGAGAAAGAATAATAAGAAGAAGAATTAAGAAAGGCAGTGAGAATTACTTGTGGGAGTGGGTGTCGAATTAGGTGATTGAGGCCTAAGAACTGGAGTAGATGGAGGAGGAGATGACAATTGAAAGAAGGAGTATATCTCAAAACGAAGAAAGCAACTTGGACAGAACACCTGACCACCTTCTGGTCCATTGCAACATGGAATAACAGCAGTAATGTCTTGAAGGCAACTCTGGCAGCCATCTTCTTCTAAATCTCTTGTACACTGTACTACAGCACTTATGTTGGTAAACTGTGTGTAAGGAATGATACCTGAATCAAATTTGGAAGGACTCAAAACAGCTTCGGACGACAGATTCCCTAGTAATGAGACCAGTTGACGATTAAAAACAACTGGGTCGGATACATTCTGGGTGTTTAAGAAGACAAAAGTTGGTTGACTACTGGCAGTAGAGAAGAATCTCCAGTATGAGTAGTGTAGCCAACAAGGACCACAACCAAGAAAAGCTTCCATCTTGAAAGGACAAAGTTGGTGAATTTCTACAGCTGCAGCAGCTGCACAGGCTTCACAGACTTCCTTAGAGATGTCTCCTCTGCACTGGATGAGTCCATAAACTGTGTCAAGGTTCTCGCCCTCTGAGGTCTCGAAGTAGCCAGTCTGCGAAGCATTTGCTGCAAGTGAAGCAAGAGTCAGGTTCAGATTTCGCTCATAAGCACTGCCAGAAGTGTAAGTAGCAGTGCTATCGCAGCTGGGAGACTTGTATTCCAGCTGAGCTTTAGCAGTAAAACAGTAACACAAGTAAGAGTAATTTGAAGATGTCTAATCCCAGGGGACTTCATCATTCTACAGGTAATTAATAGCTTTTCTGTAATATTAGTTTCACGTTGATTGATACTCACTAATCAACACTCTGCCTCCTAGATCATCTTCTTCAACTTCACCAAACTGATCAACAAAACAGAAGAGCAGCCAAGATCAACAAAACTATTGATGGGGATCAAAGAGGTAACAGAATCACTAAGATGCTGTCCTCATATTTATGAGATTTATTTACATTAATCTTTAATTCATTTCTGAGTATAGGTTGACTTGAAGAATCATGTAAGTCCAAGCATAAAATCCAAATGATCCGCTCTGTTTCTAGGAGAAGATTTGAGCAAATATTACAAGTAAATGATCTAGAGAAATATTTATTTTTTATTCCAGTGAAGCAAAAAAGAAACAATGTTAAATTAGTATTCGATGGTCAGAGAAAAGTTGATAACAGACCTTTCTTGCTACGTGTTTCTGTATCTCTATTTGCGAATGTACATTGACTGTCAAGCCGGCGATGCATATTGACTTTTAAGCCGGCAATCTATTCAGAGAGATTTGCTTGAAATTTTTATAACGAACTAAATAAAAGTTTAAATTACATGGACTTACTAATTCTAACTAGAATATATCACAACGAATGTGTGTGATATACAGTAAAAAATAAAAATAACAATTTAATCTGATCTATTTGTGTTTAAAAATTATATTATAAATTAAATATTAAATTTAAAATATATGTGACACGAATTTTTAAATTAAAATTATTTAAAAATATAAATATACTATACATATTTATATCGAAATTAATTTTTTATGGTTAAATTTTTTAATTAATGAAACATTCAAACAAATTGAATAATATAAATATGTTAAAATTTTAAAAGAGAATTAACCATCTTTCTTTTTAATATGCGGCTCATTTTCTAATTCCCCTCTCTTACTTTTCAAACCCCCCCTATATATATATATAGGTGGCACGGGTGGATAAGTTACTTTTGGACTCTATCTGTGTGACGTACAAATTTATTTGGAGTCATCCAACCTTTTTTTTTTTTACTTTTTTTTCTTTTAACACCAAAAGACTTACACATATATATATTTCTCTTTTTTAATTATTATTATTTAATAAATAATTTTATAAATTAATTTAATTTTAAAATAAATTTTATAACAATCTCAACTATATAATAAACACACATATTATATTATTATACTAATAATATAATAACTAAAAAATAAATAATATTAATTTTTAATTTTAAAAATAAAAAATTTTAATTTATCTATAATATTAATTATATTTTTGATACTAATAAAAAATATAATAATATTTCATTTAAATTAAATTTTTTAATTTAATTTTTAAATAATTAAAATAATTAATCTATTTAGTAAAAGTCAGAACACTCGTTAGTGTGTGACCTTATTGGTTCAATACTAAACCGGTAGTAAATTGGCTAAACTAATTTACTAATTAAGGTTGGCATGTAACAATACTCTTCAACGACCGGATAGTATGAAATATACAATTACTCTTAAAAACTTGTTAAAGAAATACGTAATATTTATTTATGTCATTATTGCTTCGGGTTAAATATAAAATATGGTTTAACCGTCAAATCTCAATAGGTGGTTATGTTTCATGTTAATTATAATTTACTAATGAATTACATAAGAAATTCTTTTCTTCTTTCATTCAACTGCTCTTGCTAAGATCTTAATTTAATCATTATAATAAATGACAACATAGAACTTAAACTTATTACCCAAGTTGACAGATTCTGTCTTGATCAATCATTAATTTTACAAGCATTTAATCACGATCAATATTTTTTTAATTACAGTTCTGTAACACCCAAAATTTTATTTTATTTTATTATTATTTTTATTAGAATTTTATTTTAATAATTAATTTATAAGGTTTTAATTTAATTTAATAGAAATAAAAAAAAATAATAATATAGGGTAAAATTATTTTTGGAATTTAATTGAAATTAATTTTGGGAACAAAAGAGATGAAAATTTGGATTCTAGAGGTGTTTTTGAAAAGAAAATCAAAAACTGGGAGTCAAAACGCAATTTAGAAAAATAGTGCCACGTCAGCAGCCCCGGCTAACCAGGACACGCTGCGTGGCAGGGACGCTGACGCGGGAAGCCATGCAGTATGAAGACACGTGGGCGATCCGCGTGCGAGCGATCAGACGGCCCAGATTTGATTACGAACGGACGGCCCAGATCGCATCGCGATGGACGGTCCAGATTTATTTCCAATTTAATCGCGATCGAAAGGTCCAGATTAAATCATAATGGACGGCTCAAATTAAAAGAAAAATATTATAAATAATCGCATCCACACCCAACCCCAAACCCTAGCCGCTAGAACCCTCGTCGGAGAAGACGACCCAGCCACCGGAGGAACCTGCCGCCGCCACCCCCCGCTGCACCGGAGGATTTGTCGGCTGCCAAATGAGGTAAAATTTCTCCCATTGGCTCATTTTTCGATGTTGAACCTTCATGTGGCCAAATCGGAGCCAAACCACCGCTTAATTGGCCGAAAAACACCGTCGAGCGGTGCCGCCGCGGGTTTTCTCAGTTTTTGCCTCTGATGAGGCCCCTCCCGGTTCCCGTTCGATGTAATTTTTATACCACTGTAACCATCGTCCTTTTCTCTACATGTTGACCGGAGCAAAACACCAAATCGCAACTCACGCTGGAGGAACCGCCGCACCCGAGAGTTTCGCCGCCGATAAGTCTCAGTTTTCTGGAATATTTTGGCCCACCGAGGGCCCTAGGGGTGTTTTATTATAGGAACCAATGCAAGTTTGGCCGAATTTGACCGAAAATGGCCAACCCGAGGCGGATCGCCATTGTTGGCGGCGGCGCCGTCGCCTGAGCACGGCGGAGTCGCTGTGCTGGAATTTTGAAATTGGTCGAAAGGGCATTGGGTCTGATTTAGAGTTTTTTGGGGACATGTACAGGTACCGAAAGTGTGTTTCAGTTTCAAAAAAAAAAATTCAGAAAATCTAAGGACTGTCCGTATGCACAGTGAGAACCCGATTTCAGACCCCGAAACAAGTAAGAATCTCTCACCCTATTTTCTATCACGGCATTAAAGCTTAATAAATGATAAAACGGTATTTTATGAATCAATAGATATGTATAATTAATTAAGACTGCTAATGGAGCCCGAATCTGATGTATTTTTCGGTCAGGTGTTGTTTGATTTATTTTACAGTTTTGAATGCAGTATGGTGCCTGACGTGTTTATTCTATGGTTTCGTATGCATGAATCACGGTTTCATTTATTATAGTTTGAATTATTGTGAACCTGATGTTGTGTTGCCTTGCTTGGTGTCCATTACTGGTTTACGTGTTTATATTTGATTGGATAATTGAGATCAAGAAAAGAATGAAAAAATGTATGTGAATTGATAAATGGATAATGTCGACAGCCTGACTAGATATCCTGGGAGATAGTGGACGGACCTGGTCCATAGGGAACCCTACCGGGAACGTGGTCTTTCATATCGGACGGGGTATGAAGACTTTATGTATTTTGGCGCCCATACCGGACGGGGTATGGGGACGGCCCGTTTCACCCTCATACCGGACGGGGTATTGAGGTTTATGATTTTGGCGCCCATACTGGACGAGGTATGGGGACGACTCTGGAATTAAATTATTAATGTGAATGGTTCGCGTATAGCGGGGACCCCCTATGGATCCCCATGGATACTAGTAGGCTGATAAAAGAGAAAAATTGTTGCCTGATGATTGAAATACAAAAGCATGATATGTGTTATGTTACAGAGTGTGCGTGATCTTATGATATTTATGATGTAATTGTTTTCATAAATTGTTGTCATGAATCTCACCGAGGTAGGTGGACAGTAAAGGGTTTTATTATTGATAAATGAGTTTGTTATAAATTATGCTCCATTGGTCGTTTTTGTTTTCTACCAACTTTTACTTATGTGACAGTGAGATAGTGTGATGTCTTTATTGGGCTAGTATAGCTCATTCCTTACTTAACCATTTCAGATCAGGAGAATTTGGTTCCCGAGCCCGTTCTGCAGGAAGACGGCGAGTAGAAACTAAAGAATTTATTAGTTTTCCTTATAGTATTCATTCATAGTATTTCATTTAAGTTAGTTTATTCTTTCATACGTTTAATTCGTTTTGGTTATTGTGTAAGGTATGTTAATCATAATCTATTTTATTTCGCTTCCACACTTAGAATAAATATATACATTTCCTTTTAATTTCTGGGGCCGTTACAGTTGGTATCAGAGTCGCGTTCCTCGGACCCGTCCCTTACACAATAATACTTAGAGGAATACCAAACTGAGAATTATTACTCAACCTTTCCTTGTGAAATGCAGGTGCAGAGAGATGAGGAAAGGGAGACTCCCACTAAACCGAGCAGCCCGGGATGATTTGCTTCGGGAGGATGTTGATAGAATATTTGAGATGCTCGAAAGGATCATTGCTGCTCAACAAGGTAAAGAGGAGAGAAGGGAATTACCCGACCCTCCCCCACTGCCACAGTTTGAGCCACCGCTTCAGCGAGCGGATCCCGAGCCACCCCGGCAAGAGCCTGCTCCTTCAGAGTACCACTCGGCACCACCCGCCCGCAGTATAATTCGATGCCTCAGCCACAGTATTACCCGGCACCGCCATAGTGTGATCTGATGCACCCACTATATCAGTAGGTGCCACCACAGGGCCCTCCAGTCTATTCTCAGCCCGGCCCAGTCCCTCTTCCACGGGACCCAGCTCCTTCCCTGATTGACCCGGGCTACGTAGAGAGGTATAGGAGACTAAATCCTTCCACTTTTGCAGGGGAGTCCTCTTTCAAAGATGCCCAGTACTGGTTCGCGGAGACAGAGAAGGCTTTCAAGACCTTAGGAGTGGTTCCTGAGCAGAGGGTTACTCTTGCTTCCGACATGCTGATGGGGGAAGCAGATCGTTGGTGGGAGCTCAAGCAGACCACCCTGCCTACGCCTGTCACTTGGGAGCAGTTCCTAGCAACCTTTCATGCTGAGTACCTCCCCGAGCACATTCGACATTTAAAGGAGACAGAGTTTGTTCAGCTAGTCCAGGAAAACATGACAGTGTCGAAAGATGCT